ATGTGTGTGTGTGTGTGTGTGTGTGTGTGTGTGTGTGTGTGTATGTTTGTGTGTGTATGTATGTGTGTGTGTATGTGTGTATGTGTCTTTGTATGTATGCCATGCTGTACGAGGATTTCAATAGGAATGTGGGTAGTTATTGTATGCTTACTTGTGTGTGTATGTGTGTGTGAGTGTATGTGTGTGTGTGTGTGTGTGTATGTGTGTGTATGTATATGTGTGTATATGTGTCTTTGTATGTATGCCATGCAGTACGTGGATTTCAATAGGAATGTGGGTAGTTATTGTATGCTTACTTGTGTGTGTATGTGCGTGTGTATGTATATTTTTTTTGTGTGTGTGTGGGTGTGGGTGTGTGTGTGTGTGTGTCTTTGTATGCACGCAATGCAGTACGAGGATTTCAATAGGAATGTAAGCTGTCTATATATGGTCGCTTTTAAGGACAACCGGGCTAACCCAGATTTCGAGGGTTTCCAGAAATCTTGACCTACACCAAAAGTAGACATTGCCCTACCTATTGGAGAAGTTTGGTTTCATTGGTGTGTATATTTGTTTGGTTATAGAGAAAACTCTCCTTGTCTTTTAAAGAAACTGAATAAGAGGCGAAAACTTTACCTTCAATTTTCGCAGAACAGCATTTTTTGGGATAGTCCCCTTGTGCTTAAGAGCGACCATATTATGTTTACAGTGTAAGAAGTCTAGAATATGTTAACTTGTGTATGTGTGTGTTTATGTGCTCTCATGCATGTCATGCATGTATGTGTGTTTGTATGTGTGTTTGTGTGATGTGTGTGTGTGTGTATAGTATACACAGATGTCACCAAAAATCTTGTCAATTTGTTAGTATTTGAGTGCTTGGTCGGCTGCTTGCACTGTATGCTTCCTGGGAAGCTGAGAATATTCCTGAGTGTTCTATGGTCTGCTGGGGTGATGATGTGTTGTAAGGCACAAAGAACTTGCTGTTGAGTGGGAGTATGCGCTCGACAAACGCTGTTTGGTCGCTTTTGAGGACAAGCAGGCTATTATTATTATTATTATTATTGTTATTATTATTATGATGATTTTGATGAGGATGATGAT